TTTCTTCGATCTCATCCAACCTAATCCCATAATTTGTCAGTTTTTGAATTTCTCGACCCAAAGGTCACCTTTGTACTTCAAGATGGGACAACACACCCACTAACTTGCTACTAAGTGCATCTCCTACCATATTAGCTTTACCCGGATGATAAAGGATATTGAAGTCATAATGCTTCAATAACTTGAGCCACCTTCTCTATCTCAAATTTAACTCTTTCTGCTTGAAAATGTACTGGAGGTGTTTCTAATCTGTAAACACTTCACAATGCTCGCAATATAGGTAGTGTCGCTATATTTTTAATGCAAACACCATTGATGCAAGCTTCAAGTCGTGCGTGGGGTAATTCTTCTCATGATTATTTAACTGCTTAGAAGCATAAGCAATAACTTTTCCATAGTGCATAAGAACAAAACCAAGACCAACTCTGGAGGCATCACGATACACTGTGAACCCACCCGATTCTGTCGGCAAAGTTAACACAGGTGCAGTGGTCAACCTCTTTTTTCGCTCTTGAAAACTTAGCTCACAAGTGTCTAACCACTGGAACTTAATTGCTTTCTGAGTCAACTTAGTTAATGGAGCTTCAAGTGAAGAAAATCCCTCTACAAACCTTCAATAATAGCCAGATAACCCCAAGACACTCATGATTTTGGTTGGCGTTGTCGGCCTTGGCCAATCCTTTGACTGCTTCTATCTTCTGAGGGTCTACTTTTATGCCTTCACTAGATACCACGTGGCCTAAGAATGCCACTGACTACAGCCAGAATTCACATTTTGAAAACTCAGAGTAAAGCTCATTCTCCTTGAAAATAGAATACTTAGAGTGCAAATTCAGTGAAGGGGGCTCATGAGTCATACGTGGATGTGGACCTTGATACTCAAGTTATCCCCAAGAAAGGTAATTTCAAGTATCACGGGTCTATTATCCAGGATAATGGGGTGCTTGACGAGAATGTCGCACATTGTATTTGAGCGAGATGAATGAAATGAAGTCTTACGTTCGGCGTCTTATATGACGGGAATGTACCGCCAAGACTTGAAGGTAAATTTTACAAGTGGTGGTCCGACTAACTATGCTATATGGGGCGGAGTATTGGCCAATTAAGAACTCACATGTGCAGAAGATGAAAGTTGCAAAAATAAGGATATTGAGATGGATGAGTGGGTATACTAGGAGAGATAAGATTAGGAATGAAGCTACTCGGGACAAAGTGGGAGCGACCTCCGTGGAGGACAAGAAACAGGAGTCGAGGCTGAGATAGTTTGGGCATGTAAAGAGGAGAAGATTTGATGCTCCTGTCAGGAGATGTGAGAGGCTAGCCATGGCGGGTTTGAGAAGAGGTCGAGGTAGGCCAAGGAAGTGTTGTGAAGAGGTGATTAGGTATGAAATGGCAAGGCTCCAGCTTACTGAGGACATGATCCTTGATAGGAAGGTATGGAGGTCGAGGATTAGGGTAGAAAGTTAGTAGGTAGTTGTAAGTTTCTCTTTTTCTTTCCAGTTACTTTAGCAGCACCAAGTTCCTGCATATTCTTAAGTAGATCGTTACTTTGTCATGTGATTTAGTTCGCTTCTGTTATCATATTTCATGTTGTTAGTGTTTAGTACTACTAGTTTCCCCCTTTTTTCTTTCTTTTTCTCTCTCTTCTTCTTCTTCCCCTCTCGTCTTCTTCCTCTTTATCCCCTTCTTCATCTTCTTATCACTCTAAATAAGCCAAGGGTCTATTGAAAACATCCTCTTTACCTTAACTAGGTAGGGGTAAGGTATGCATACGCATTACTCTCCCAGATCCCACTTGTGGGAATATACTAGTATGTTGTTGTTGTTGTTGGCATAAAGCTCATTCTCCCCTAAGGTCTGCAAGCCTATCTTGAGGTGTTCTGTGTGCTCTTCCGTGCTCTTACAGTATACCAAAATATTGTCTATAAACACGATCATAAAGGTATCAAGGAATAACTTGAAAACTCTGTTCATGAGGTCCATGAATGCACCTGGAGCATTCGTCAACCCAAAGGACATTACTAGAAATTCATAGTGCCCGTAGCGAGTCCTAAGGGCAGTTTTAGATATATCCTCTTCTCTGATTCTCAATTGGTGGTACCCCGACATCAAGTCTATCTTTAAAAAGTACTTAGCACCCTAAAGTTGATCAAATAAATCAACAATTCTTGGTAGTGAATACTTGTTCTTAATGGTAACTTTATTCAACTACCGATAATCGACGCACATTCTGAAAGACCCATCTTTTTTCTTGACAAACAGGACCGGGACAGCCCATGGTGAAACACTCAGCCTGATGAAGCCCTTGTTAAGAAGGTCTTTCAACTATTCTCTCAACTCCTTAAGTTTTGCTGAAGCCATCCAATAAGGAGGATTAGATATGGGCTGAGTGCCTGGCATGAGATCGATGCCAAAGTCTATGATTCTTTCATGAGGAAGTCCTGGGAGGTCATTTGGGAAAACATCTGGAAATTCTCTAACAACTGGCACTGCCTGAAGTGCTGGTGGTTCTGATTTTGGATTAATAATGTGAGCCAGATAGGCAAGACACCCCTTACCGATCATTCTCTGTGCCTTAAGGTAGGAAATAAACTTACCTAAAAGCGATGTTGAAACCCTTGTACTCTAAGACTTTTTCATTTGGAAATTGGAACCTGACTATCTTGGCACGATAATCTAATATGTCATAGCAAGAAGACAATCAATCCAAACCCATGATCACATCGAAATCTACCATTTCTAACTCTATGAGATCGGCCTCGGTGCTACGACCTTGGACTGACACTGCACAACCTCTATATACTCTTATAGCCTTAACTGACTTGCCAACTGGAGTAGATATTAGGAATGCCTCACTTAGTTGTTCAGGTTCTAGCTCGAGGTTATTTGTAGAGTATGGAGTCACATACGAAAACTTTGAACCTGGATCAATTATGGCATAATCATTATGTGAGAAAACTAGAAGTATACCTGTAATAACTCACATACGAAAACTTTGAACCTGGATCAATTATGGCATAATCATTATGTGAGAAAACTAGAAGTATACCTGTAATAACTTCTGGAGATGCCTCTGCACTCTAACAATAAAGTGTAGTAAACAAATGGGGTTTTCCCCCTCCCTGTGTAACTCGATCTACACCTCTACTTGCCCCATGCCCAGCCTAATTATGAGAACCACGAGCCTGAGGTGATGCAATTGTAGTAGCCGAGGAACTAGAAGGACGAGTTGATTCCCTATTGAAATTACGTTGCAACTTTGGTCAGTTTGCCTTTCTATGACCACTGTCTCCGCAATGATATCAACCTTGAAACCCGAGCTTGCAGTGACCTGAATGTTGCCGCTTACATGTACAACAAAGACCTTGTTGTTGTGAATGTTGCTCAACGTGACTCTGGCTATATGAGGATGGTGTCCTAAAATTCTGATTCTAGCGAGACTAATTTCCATAACTATGAGTAAGTCTAAAGGAAGACCCACCACCCGACTGACTACTAGATTGAGATGGTGCTAATGACCCCTTGCTGAAGGAACCCCTTCCACCTTCGCTGGATATACCATTAAACCTGCCCGCTATCCGGGCTTTCTTATTATGCTCTTTTTTTCCCTCCTTTGTTTTCTGTCTTTTTCTAAGTGCTTGGCAAAACACACAACGAAACCCACAACAAAAGAGAAAGATGTCATTCTTATCGCTGCAGCTGATGTGGTATCCTTAATGTGGTAAGATAAACCGCCAACAAACCTGTGGATCTTTGCTCTTTGTCTTAACGATGTGAGCGGAATGCTTAGCTAAACTTATGAATTCCATGTAGTACTCTTCCATACTTTTATTCCCTTTCTTGAGCTGTTCGAACTTTGTAGCATTTGCTTACCTATCCTCTTATGGTATAAAATTAAACATGAAGGCCTCTTCAAATTCTTCCCAGGTAGGCAGACCATCATCTTCATCTCTTTCTGTTTTTCACATCTCAAACCAAGCGCTAGCCACATCTCTAAGCTGGTAGGCAGCCATCTTCACAACTTCATCATAAGATGCCTTCATTGCTCAGAGGGCTTTCTTGACACCCTCCAGCCACAACATTGGATCTTCATCAACTATAGTAGCACGGAACAACGAAGGACTCAACTTCAAAAATTCATTCACTCTTGAGGACTCAGAATTATTCTGTCTATTTGATTAAGGTGGAATCTCATCTCTTTTCCCGTTCTTGTTGGCCATGAAGGCTTTAAAAATCTCCATAGCACTGTTGATAACATTAAACATCTGACCCACCTCTGCAGATATAGCTGTCTGAGCTTGAACTGCTGTTGGGGGTGGCACTAGATCCTGAGGTACTTGCTCATCATGCTCTACCCCTTCTTCATATTCAATCCAGGGTACTTGAACCTCTTTTGTGGATTTACCCTTCTTTTTTTGAGTTGAAGCCTTCTTAGTTCTACCTTGAGCCATAATAGTAGCAATAGTTTCCTGAGCAGCATCCTGAGTGCCGGTGCCAGAGTTGCGAGTGCGAGCCATTTTGTCCAACGAGCCTTCTTACTATGTTAAGAAGAATTTTTTTAGCTCAATGTCATTGTTGTTACGACATAGTTGTCAGTTTATGAATCTAGCAAAAATGGGGCATAACCAATTTAATTTTCAACCTTTTGCTGTGTAAATCTAGCATATCTGGTTTGTAATTTAATGAATTCTGTGACAGTTAGTTACTGCAATGTAGTGTGGGCCAAGTAGAGTACAATTAAGATGAGATGTTGGTATATGTATGTGAAGGCAATCAACATGAAAGGGGGGATTTGTTGAGAGTTAGGAATTGGGTGAATAAACTAAAATGCCAATTATTTATACTATTAATTAGCTTTACTTAACCATCTCCTAATCTCTAGTCATTCTTTTTGGTTCTGCAATAAATTTATCTTCCAAAACCTCTTACTTAAACACAGATTATTAATCCAAATCTTTGTATTCTCTTCAGTTTCTGTAAACAAGAGTGGAGTAAAAGAAATGGCTGGCAGTGCAGACCTCACTTTCTCCACTGGTGCAACCAAAGAGACCATAAACCAGAATCAAGAAGTAGACAAAATTGGTACACACAAGCCTGGAATTGATGGAAATGGTTTAATGGTTACTGCAAATTTGCCAAAGGTAACAGTGCCTGTACGCGAGAGAGATTCCATAAGACGACCACGTGGCAGGCCAGCCGGCTCCAAGAACAAGCCCAAACCACCAATCATTATTACAAGGGACAGTGCTAATGCATTACGAGCACACGCAATGGAGGTGAATTCAGGCTGTGATGTGAACGAAAGCTTAGTGAATTTTGCACAAAGGAAGCAACGTGGCATATGCGTGCTGAGTGCAACAGGGTGTGTGACAAACGTGACATTGCGCCAACCAGCCACATCAGGGTCCATTGTCACACTCCACGGGCGGTTTGAAATCCTGTCGATGCTCGGGTCAGTCCTTCCACCACCAGCACCACCAGGGGTAACAGGGCTAACAATTTACTTAGCAGGGGCTCAGGGACAGGTTATAGGTGGGGGTGTAGTGGGTGCACTTATAGCCTCAGGGCCAGTGGTGATTATGGCTGCAACTTTTATGAACGCGACGTTTGATCGTTTGCCATTAGACGATGATGAATTGGTCGCTGCTGCTTCAGCTCAAAACCAACATTACCAAAAGAATCATCAGCGTCATCAGGTTGATGTTCCTGATATTTATAGCTTGCCACAGAGTGTAATTACTAATGGTGCTTTGCACCCTGAGGTCTATTCATGGGCACCTGGACGGACTTTATCGAAGTCCTAGATTAGTTATAGGGTCAGAGGCTGGAAAAAATAATATTCAGAAGGAATCATAAAATATAGGCATTCAATATCTTGCTTATTTTATTCAGTTTTATTCTATTCTACTGTAAGCCCTGTAGTTAGAGAGAATATCACATATCAATTGTACTTCAACGGTGACTCAATATTAGAGATATTATTTTTTACTTGTTTCATTTCTTTACCTGCTTTTGCTGAACTTTTTGCAGTTTCCTTTGTGAGGGGAGTGGTGACAAACTTAATTGTGGGTCTTTTTTTTCACACAAAAAGAAAAAGACGAGAAATTGAATATGTTGCAAATTTAATTTAATTTAATTTTTTTTTTTGCACCGAGCAGATTTAAATATACCTTTGGACATTCATTGATTTAATACCGCATACTGAGATAGAAAAGACTCGCCAAAATTATCATCTTATGACGCACTAAACCAGTTTTTTTTTAAGTTATGTGAGCCTTTTCATAAGAGATCAGTAAGATATAACATAGGACAAACTGTAAAAATTATACTACATGATATCTTTGTGATCATTTTCTTCTATTCAAATTATAACTGGTCATAGTAGATCATTCCTCTTATAATGATGATCATATTGTATACGGTCAAAATCAAGTGTGCTCGATTTAGTGGGCTCGAGGAACCGCTTCAAGAATCGATCCGAAGTACACTGGGTTCGAGGCCGATGGCAGAGTACGAAGATCGAAGATTAAAGTGACCGATGAATATCGAGGCCGAACGTGACCGGCTACGAGATAATGCCGTTGTGGCTTTGTAACAGAATGAGCAAGATTCCTGCCACGTCCCCAAGATCGTAGCGTAAATTTCGGAATTGATTTGTACCAGTTAGTACTAATCCGTACTAGGCGGTTAGACAGCTGTCCCAATAAGATTCTTTACTGTAAACAGAAATGTACCTTATTTAGGGTTCCCCTATTATATAAAGGGGACCCTAATCATTTGTAACGATCATCAATCATTGGCAAAGAATATACTCTATTACTTTTTGGTTCATATTTCATCAGAATCGTCTCTTTACTTGATTGTTCTTGCTTTATTGTTCTTCACCAACCTCGACGCCACCTTAGCTCGAGGTCGAGACTGTCTTGCACACTTGTTTAATTTTACTTATTTCCTTCATTTATACGTTAGTTTTTTTGGTTATTAATTAGTATTGCACGTATCTTTAAAACCATAAATCAAATTTAATTGTTACTCGTATTTTCGAGGTAAACAGTTTGGCGCCTACCGTGGGGCTAAAGATAATAGTGGTTGTTCAGTACTGATTCTTATAACACACGTTATTTTCACGCTTTTCTTGTCAAGAATTTTTGTTCTCAGGTTAAAACATGTCAAACTCGCAAAACGCACCCATACACGGCGATGAGGGTCTTGGATTTCATGGGGAAAACGACAATATAGGGGTCGGTGTACCACCGATTAACCCTAGGGAAGTGCCAAATGTGGAACCAGTCGATGTTAGTTCGCACATTGCTTTGAATGAGGATTTAGGCGCAGACCCCAGAGGAAGTGTATACAGGGAAGCCCGATCTGGAGGCCAACGAACACAGGGTGTAGGAGATAGGGGAGTCAGCCTCCAAATAATATTCGAGATGCTACAAGTTCAACAGGTTGCTATCGCTCTGCTTCAAAGTCAGCACAAAACTCCAAGTGTAGTCGAACCAGAAAACACTCGACGTACTAAGACGATACCAGAAAGATCAAGCGGTAATGGCTCGGGGACTGATCCCACAATTATGAGGATACTCGAGGAACTCACCAAGAGAATCGAGTCCGGGGAGAAGAAGATTAAGGATAATGACAAAAAAGTGGAGACTTATAACTCCCGTATTGATCAAACCGGGGGCACCCCCGGTCTTGAAAGGTTTGGATGCCAAAAAGTTCATACAAAAGCCATTCCCTCCGAGTGCGGCTCCGAAGCCCATTCCTAAAAAGTTTCGCTTGCCTGATATACCTAAATACAACGGGACAACCGATCCCAATGAACATATTACCTCATACACTTGCGGGATTAAGGGAAACGACTTGAATAATGATGAGATCGAGTCAGTATTGTTGAAAAAATTTGGGGAAACTTTGTCAAAGGGAGCCATGATTTGGTATCACAACTTGCCCCCGAACTCTATTGATTCATTCGCTATGTTAGCAGACCCCTTCGTGAAAGCACATGCCGGGGCCATAAAGGTGGCGACAAGGAAATCGGACGTTTTTAAGATAAGACAGAGAAACGATGAGATACTAAAGGAATTCGTATCCTGGTTTTCAAATGGAGCGAATGGAATTACCATCGGTCTAGGATGTCTGGGCAATACAAGCTTTTATGCTGGGTTTGAACAAGTGGAGTTTGATCGCGTCACGACAATTGAAGCAAAATCTGATCGAGTACCCAGCTGTGACTTGGTCAGACGTATATAATCGTTACCAATCGAAGATCATGGTCGAGGACGACCAGTTGGGAGCCCCCTCAGGTTCAGTCCATCCTTATAGATTGACAGCTAAGCCCTCGAGGGGTACGGACAGGGAGTCAAGATCAAATAAGGAACGGTACCAGCCATATGTCGATCGGAGAAACAACCGTTCGGGGCGTAACGCTCCTCGGAACGATCAAAGAAATGATCGAGGTAAAAGCTCTCGGGGACTTATGAGTAAGAATGGTTTTGATAAACATACCGACCCCGTAAAAGCACCTCAATTGTCGGAGTATAATTTTAGCGTAGATGCATCGGGGATCGTGTCAACTATTGGAAGAATCAAAGACACCAGGTGCCCAGGCCTATACAAATCGATCCTTCTCAAAGGAATCCAAACTTGATGTGTAAGTATCACGTCACACACGGCCATAGGACCGAAGACTGCAGGCAGCTGAGGGAGGAGGTAGCTCGGTTGTTCAACGAGGATCATCTTCGAGAATTTCTCAGTGATCGAGCTACGAACCACTTCAGGGAAAGAGATGCAAATAGAAAAAATGAGCAGGAAGAACCGCACCACGTAATTCAGATGATCGTTGGCGGTGTCAATGTTCCACAAGGGCCTATATTCAAACGCCTCAAGGTGTCGATCACTAGAGAAAAACGGACTCGGAGCTACGTGCCCGAGGGTGTCCTATCATTCAATGACGAGGAAGCGGAAGGCATATCTCAGTCGCACAATGACGCCCTGGTAATTTCTATTTTGTTAAATAAAATTCAAGTTAAACGTGTTCTAGTGGATCTAGGTAGCTCAGCAAAAATAATCAGATTGAGGGTCCTAGAGCAGCTCGGCCTACAGGACCAAATTGTACCTGCATCTCGAGTCCTAAATGGCTTCAGCATGGCAAGCGAAATAACGATGGGGGAGATAATCCTACCGGTGAACGTGGCCGGGACCATCCAAGATACAAAATTCCATGTCATCGAAGGTGACATGAGATATAATGCATTTCTCGGGAGGCCATGGATCCATAACATGAGGGCAGTACCTTCAACCCTTCATCAGATGATGAAATTCCCAACAGTGGACGGTGTGAAAACAATTTACGGAGAACAACATGCTGCAAAGGAAATTTTTGCAGTCGAGGAGGTGATACCAGTACCAGTTCCTTCGACCTCGGAAAAATCGAGCACCAAAGATAAGCAGACAGCCAAATAGCAATCACCGCCCCCAGCCTCGACCGAATCGGATGGACAGGTAATCGAAGAAGAAGAAGAGGATCTTCTTACTCCTCGAACGTTCGTTGTTCCCGAAAAGTCAGATACAACTAACTCAACGGTCGAGGAACTGGAACAGGTCATACTGATCGAGTACATGCCCGAGAAAAAGGTATACCTAGGAACGGGGTTAACCCCCGAACTCTGGAAGAAACTCATTCAATTTCTTATCGATAATATGGATTGTTTTTGCTTGGTCCCACTTAGACATGACTGGGATCCCACCGGAAATAACAACACACCGGCTAAGCCTCGGCCCTATATTCAAATCTGTAAAGCAAAAAAGGAGGCCCCAGTCCGAGGTGAAGCATGCATTCATAAAGGATGAGGTAAACAAACTTCTTAAAATAGGGTCTATTCGGGAGGTAAAATACCCTGAATGGTTAGACAACGTAGTTGTAGTTCCTAAAAAGGGAAACAAACTTAGAATGTGTGTAGATTATAAGGATTTGAACAAGGCATACCCTAAAGACTCTTTTCCCTTGCATAACATCGATCGCATGATCGATGCCACGGCCGGCCACGCGATCCTAACCTTTCTCGACGCCTACTCCGGGTACAATCAATTCAGATGAACCCTAAGGACCAGGAAAAGACCTCATTTATCACTAAGTTTGGAACATACTATTACAATGTAATGCTCTTTGGGCTAAAAAATGCTGGAACTACATGCCAACGCTTAAGATAGGTAAATCAATGGAAGTTTACATTGACGATATGTTAGTTAAGTCCCTGCGCGTAGAGGACCATTTAACTCATTTGCAGGAAACATTTAAAATCTTGAGCAAAAACAACATGAAGCTTAACTCAGAAAAATGTGCCTTCGGGGTCGGATAGGGCAAGTTCCTCGGATTCATGGTATCAAATCGAGGGATTGAAATCAACCTCGACAAGATCAAGGCCATCGAAGATATCACTATCGTAGGTAGTTTGAAAGCTGTACAAAGGTTAACAAGACGAATAGCCGCCTTGGGTCGATTTATTTCGAGGTCATCGGATCGAAGCCACAGGTTCTTTTCCTCGCTCAAAAAGAGAAAGGATTTCGCATGGACCCCGGAACGCCAGCAAGCATTGGAGGAATTGAAGCAATATTTATCGAGCCCACCTATGCTTCACACTCCGAAGGTAGATGAAAAGCTTTACTTATATTTGGCGGTGTCCGAGATAGCGGTAAGTGGTATACTAGTTCCTGTTTACTATGTAAACCGGACTCTAGGAGATGCTGAAACTAGATACCCTCACTTAGAAAAAGTAGCACTTGCATTAATAAGTGTATCTAG